TCCAAGTTGTATTACAGCACAAAATTTCAAACTGTAAGTTAATTTCTTACGCCAGCTTAACAAAATTAAAAAATAATTTTCATTAGATGAAGAAAAATGTTACGCCGGCTTAACAATTTCTCAAATCAAATAAATATTTCAAAGAAAATTTCAAACTGTGAGACAAACTGTTATGCCGGCTTAACAAAATGGAAAATAATTTTAATTGTAAGATAAATAATTTCCATTAGATGAAGAAAAATGTTACGCCGGCTTAACAAATTCTCAAATCCAAGTGGAATTACAGCACAAAATTTCAAACTGTAAGTTAATTTGTTACGCCGGCTTAACAAAATAAAAAAATCATTTTCATTAGATGAAGGAAAATGTTACGCCAGCTTAACAAATTCTCAAATCCAAGTGGAATTACAGCCTGTAAGTTAAATTGTTACGCCAGCTTAACAAAATCAAAAAAATATTTTCATTAGATGAAGAAAAATGTTACGCCGGCTTAATCCAAATCCAAGTGGAATTACAGCACAAAATTTCAAAGTTAATTTGTTACGCCGGCTTAACAAAATAAAAAAATCATTTTCATTAGATGAAGAAAAATGTTGCGCCAGCTTATCAAATTCTCAAATCCAAGTGGAATTACAGCACAAAATTTCAAACTGTAAGTTAAATTGTTATGCCGGCTTAACAAAATAAAAAAATCATTTTCATTAGATGAAGGAAAATGTTATGCCAGCTTAACAAATTCTCAAATCCAAGTGGAATTACAGCCTGTAAGTTAAATTGTTACGCCAGCTTAACAAAATCAAAAATTATTTTCATTAGATGAAGAAAAATGTTACGCCAGCTTAACAAATTCTCAAATCAAAGTGGAATTACAGCCTGTAAGTTAAATTGTTATGCCGGCTTAACAAAATCAAAAAATCATTTTCCTTACATGTAGAAAAATGTTAAGCTGGCTTAACAAATTATCAAATCCAAGTGGAATTACAGCCTGTAAGTTAAATTGTTATGCCGGCTTAACGAAATCGAAAAATCATTTTCCTTACATATAGAATAATGTTAAGCTGGCTTAACAAATTATCAAATCTAAGTGGGAATTACAGCCTGTAAGTTAAATTGTTATGCCGGCTTAACGAAATCGAAAATCATTTTCCTTACATGTAGAAAAATGTTAAGCTGGCTTAACAAATTATCAAATCAAAGTAATGTTTCAAAGAAATTTTAAACTGTAAGATAAATTGTTATGGCGACTTAACAAATCGAAAAATCATTTTCTTTACATGAAGAAAAATGTTAAGCTGCTTAACAAATTTTCAAATCAAAGTAATGTTTCAAAGAAAATTTTAAACTGTAAGATAAATTGTTATGCCGGCTTAACAAAATCGAAAAAATCATTTTCCTTACATGAAGAGAAATGTTAAGCTGGCTTAACAAATTCTTCATATCCAAGTGGAATTACAGCATATCAATTCTCAAATAAATTGTTAAGCCAGTTTAACAAAATCGAAAAATCAGTTTCATTAGATGAAGAAAAATATAACACCGGCTTTACAAATTCTCAATCAAAAGTAATATTTCAAAAAAAGATTTAAAACCGTAGGATAAATCTCATATTAAAGTAGAACGTAAATTATCTGTTAAGTCTAACAGTTAAGCTGGGATGCTGATTTAACAAAACTAAAATTAATTTCATTAGCTGAAAATGTTAACACTAACATTTGTATAATATCAAGTAGAAGAACAGCATAAAATTTTAAGTTATCCGATAAATTATATGTTAGCTGAACCACTGAAATTCATCGGAGCGCCTGTTATCTAAGAATTACTGTAGTTCCAAAGTTCTAAGTAATATTTTAAAACTACCATATAAATTGTTATGCAAAGTTAAGCTACTTCAACACAATAAAAAATTAAGTATTATATCAATACATTATGACAAAAATTGATAAGGTAGCTTAACAAAATAGTTAACAGAAATATATAGCAATACATTCAAGGACAAAACTGTTAAACTGGCATGGAAATGAAACTCGGATTTTCTCAGAATCAATCAATCTTAACAAAATGAGTAAATAAAAATATGTAACTTAGCATATGTGTAATCAATCAAAGATTAAATACATACAAATTAAAATATATTCTAGTTTGCCAAAAAAAGTAAATAGTAATATGTGATCAATTTACAACTTACATAATTTGAAATTATTTTCAACTATTTAGAAGGTACCAAATGGTAATAACATTAAATCAACTACATTCAAGAAATTGTTCTGCAGATTTTTAAAATGGTAAGTATATATGAAAAAAAAAATTGCATCACAGCAGAGAAATAAGAAAAATATATTTCCTAATTGCTAATAGGAGCAAGTTCATCTATGCAAAAAAATACCCATAAAAGTGGTGTAATCAGCTAAGCACATACAAAAGAAATCATTACACCATATGAAATCTTAATGCAACCTGCCCTGTATGCGCTATCAACAAAGCCTGAAAACAGGTTTTTCTAAATAATACAGCAATTCAAGTAAACAATAAGTTCAAGAAATTTAAAAATATTTAAAAGGAACATAACATTATACAATTTATCAAAACAGGTTAACAAATTAAAATATGTGTTTCTTTTCTTCATCTGTTGAGCGGAATCATCAAAGTCTTTGACAGTCCTTATTATGGGGCCCTTTTCCGTCTTTGATCTGTAATGTAAGACAACATTGACTTTTAATCAAATAAAAAAGCCTAAAAATAAGATAAACTGTTTATTTTTCTCACGTAATGATATCAGTATACTGTATTCCTAGAAATGTTCGCGGATACAATATTTCGCGTTTTCACAACATCAACATTTTCACGGAGACAAACTTTTCGTGGATTTGTAGTAACGCAAATTCGCGAATATTAAGTCGCTACGGCCTAAATTACAGTTTCTGAAGGCAACGGCTGAACAACGTACAGTATAAACCTACATGTATTTGATGTTCCAAAACATGAAAAAAATAATATTGAAATAAAATTATTCCCAGTCTCCACCCCTATATATACACATGCAGTATAGCCTTTTTTCCATTTATGAATGTCACATTAATGATGCAGCAATTCCTGCGATTTATGATTGACCTTAATATCTATAAAAAAGAACAAGAATAGCAGGTAATTTACTGTTATTTTTCAGTCCAGACTAACGGTTATTTCGTGCTTCTTAAACAGTATCATACGGTACATAGCTTTCATTATAACAACATAACATGATACTGTTAAAGTAGCACGAAATAACCGTTACATAAATCCAGACGTCTGGACCAAAAAATGACAGTTATTTCGTGCTACTTTAACAGTATCATACTGTACATCGCTTTCATTATAACAACATAACAGCTGTTTATCAATGTAGCAGTTGATCGCTATAGTACTTTTAACAAAGGATTACACATACTCCAAGCAACTAAAATCCAAAGTCATTCAATGAACGCAAACTGTAAATGCTTTTGTATACGCCGTGACTAGCGAATAACATCAATAAGCATGATAATTACTAATAATTGACATTTTTTTTCATGATCCAATGAACTTTACATAATTCTTTATACGTTTCTAAAGCACCTGTGTTTATATGTTTTTTGTGTGAGTAGATTATAATAAATATTCTGCATGTTTTTTTTATCAACATATCAACAGAAATGAATATCTATATAATATGGACAGGTTTATCACATAAAAAAAACAGATGTTGCTGGTGCGGCTCAAACCCTCAGCCTAGTGACTGTTTTTTTTTAGTAAACTGAGTACTGACTTCACTGAAATATATAAAGCTACTGAAAGTTACCTGTTTTTCCGCTTTTGTTTCTGGTTTTCTGATTGGTTTTTCTTCGGCATAGACTTTCTTTTTTCATTTGACATTATTCTTGATTGTGTCTGTTGCCTAGGTTTCTTTATGGTTATCTAAATATTTATAAAAAAAAAAAAAAATTCCTGAACAGTTATGTTATCCTTTTCTGTTATATGTAACATAGCATTTCCTAGTCAAAATGCTTTTAATGTACTTATTATGAAAAGATTAATTATTTCAATATTCAAACAATTAACTTTCACATTTTAAAAATCATTAAAAGAATTATATGATGCATAAATGACACAACACAAGATGTCAAGTTCAAGTTAATTCTTTTTAATTTTTCACTGTGATGGAAAGAGTTTATCAAATATTAATTATAATAATGTCCACAAATATCACAAATACAGCTAACAACTGAATTTTCTTAAGTTACTGTTAAGTTGTAAGTTTTTAAATACTATAGATGTTGTAAGTTTCAAATTCAAAATAAGACTATTAGATGTTAGTTCCGAAATTAAAATAAGACTACATATAAACGTTTGAATGTTACTAAAAAAAATTTTTTTAAATTTTGTGTCACAATTCATATTATATTTCTTAAAATTAAGGTCCCTATCTGTACAACAAAACTTTAAGGAAAAACCATATAGCAATATAGCAAAATCTCAATAATCAATAGAGAAAATATTGAATTCTTTAAAGAATGCTCAAAACAACAAAACCTAAAATGTTGCAGGCTTGGTTTGTTTTAGCCCATTCATCGATAGTAGTGGTAAATGCATGGCCCTCACACTGACTTAAGCAGAACACAACAATTACATAGGTATAAGGTGAATTTGAATTTTGAATCATCTGCTTCAATCCTTTAAGCTGTAATCTGTTACTATTTAGAAATGTTCGGTTTTTTTCTTTTTGTCAAGCAATATAAATAAATATCCAAGATACCTTTGGCTCAACTGTTTCTTTGTTAATCTGTTTATCTACCTCCTCTGAAATCGTTATGCTGTTTGTGGCTTCAATATATGTTTGTCTGGGAAGTTCCTCCAAAATCCATTTCGTTTTTTCTGTATTTCGCTTGTTGTTTATATTGTCATAAAATGTTCTCCAAATACTCCGTGTTTCATGATTTTCAAACATATGTTTAATATTTTCATTTGTTTCAATTGTCTCTCTTTGTCTATGTTTGAATAATCTGGGCTAAAGTTTTGGGCTTATTTTTTGGAATGGTTTTAAGTATAGTATATTCCATTGGAATCCATGAATTACTTTGGGCACCTTTATAAAAACCATCTGTCTTTGTTGCTGCTTTGCAAAATTTATAGTGCAAGGGCCCACTTACACCAGTTAACGATTTTATTTCTGGAGAGAGCCAGCTTTTTACATCATACATGTTGTCCAACATCTTTCCATCAACTAGATCTATAAATTTCTGAACTGTCTCAACATCTGTTTTTCGCAATTTATCGGCCACTTTACTAAAAGCTGCATCCACATCCTCATGGGTGTGCCCAACTATTAGAAAAGATAAATGTACCTGAAAATAATTTAAAAAAAATATATAAATTACATTTAATCTAAGCTGGAGAATATGAATAGCTACAAATTATATGTACCATCATATGGATTTAACATCAAGGATATAAATATGTATGTGGATAACTTTAGACATTTTGCTATTGCTTGTAACAAGTAACAATCTTGTTAACTACATGTACTAGTATACATGCAGAGTTAATTCAACCATATCCTAACTTCTGTAATTCTTGAATAATTCAGACATACAGTTGAATTTTCTATATATAAGGGTTTATATTTATATAAAAAATAATCCGTAGAAGTGGGCAGATATATGTTTGATGAATATTATTCATTGCGTGAAAGTGGGATGGCACTGTATGTCTGGGCAGACAAATATAGAAAGAAATCTGCACAGAATTGAAGACAAACTGACTTTTAGTATAATGACCTCTTGTAAAATGGGAGCCTACCAAAATATGAGTAGCTTCCCTTTAATTAATTATCTCCCTTTGTTACTGGGTAGTCTCTGATTATGCAAATCTCTATAAACAATTACATGAACTTTACTCTAGTTATTGTCCAGAAATCATTTTTTTATTTTTAGTAATGGTGACTAGGGGATCCAAATGCAATACCCATCCGGGGTTCATATAAGCTTGCTATACACCAAGTTTGATAACAATTTCTCATTCCTAACTCTAGTTATTTTCCGGAAACAATTTTTCTATCTTTAGTTACAGTAACCTTGACCCCAGGAGATCCAAATGCAATACCAAACCGGGTCTTTATTAAAGCTAATTGTATACAAAATTTGATTAAAATATCTCATTCCTAACTCTAGTTTTTGTTCTGAAACCTTTTTTCGCTTTTTTGTAATGTTGACCTTGACCCCACGGTTTCCACATAAGGTTGCTATTTACCAAGTGTGATTACAATACCTCATTCAAAACTCTAGTTATCATCCGGAAACCATGATGTGGAAGGACGGACGGACCGACAAGCTGCTCCTATATATACCCCCCTAACTTCGTTTGTGGGGGTATAATAAAGTTCATAATTGTAAACATCTTTTTCAATATACTTCTAACAGAATAAAAAAAAAATACTCGGAAAAATGTCATAGCACACATCTAAAAAATGATAATACCTCATTGAAAATCCTTTCAGTTACCAGCAGTTCACAAAATGCTAACATATAGCGATTTTTATTTTCCCTGCCACAGTTGTCTGCTTGAATATAAAGCATTTGCGGAAGTTGGTTTCCCTACAAAAACAATGTTATTTGCTTAATAATGACAATCATAATAATATAATAAAAGATATATTATATCTTTAGCCTTTCCAAAAGGATTAAAAGAACAGGATTTTCAGGTACAGTCAGTGTAGGCATTGGAATAACTTTATGAAAAGCGTTATTTTTTGCAATATTTTAGGAGTGCTTTAACCCTTTCTCTCATGAGCATATTGTTAAAAATTGCCGTTTTCACTGAAAAGCCTCCTGTTACAAGTTCAAACTATGAAAAATGCTTCAATACTAATTAAACTTTGCACAAATGTTGACTGGACCATTGCCTTTGTAACGACATGCTCAGTCTTAAATTTCCTGTTACCATGGCAACGAGGGGACATCTCAAAATTGCCAAAAAACACTATTTTGCCTCGATTTTTTCCATCAAAATTTATTTCAAAGTGCTGCAACTGCTCAAGGGATTGAGATAGAGTCAAGGCTTTTCAGAGTTGGTTACACGTTACCTTATGATTGACATGGGGTCATTTTTAGCCTCTAACAAGTCCAAAATTTTCCTTCAAACCCCCCAAACAGAATGAGGCACATTTAGCAACATTTCTCAAACAAAAACATGTGTTTTCACTTTTGGGCCCAAATAGGACATTTTTTCACTATTTCAGGCCTAAAAAAAGGGGGGGTCCAAAGTGCGTTGTTTCATGTATATATGAGGTAAAGGGTTAAGTTGTTACATTCATATGACATCATCTAATAGTAACAAGTGTCATTTCTTTTCTAAACATCGCAGAATTGTCACACTGTTTATCAAAGTTTTCTTGAAATCTTGACATTAAATACTGATGAAGAAAAAATAAAAATGAACATGAAAATAAAAATGAATAGATCATTTTAAAACATTAGACAAACATTAAACAGTAACTACAAAAAATGTCATTTGAAGAGATTATAGCCTTCATTTAAAACAAAGGTTATCTAAACAATTTGTCATTCCAGTAGTCATTTTGTTTTTATGGATGAATAAAAAAGAAATTAATTATGTGATTCCGATTGCCTACACATGCTGTATTAATTACAGTCTTTAATGTATGCACACATTTAACTGTAATGATCATGGGCATATGAGACATTTTAATGAAATATTATTGATAGTTTAGGAGTTATACCAAAGACATGCATTAGCACTATAGAGGATGACAATAAACATGGCAGGATTATGGGTCTTTGACACTGCACTGTCACTCTTTGTTCCAAATTTTGCAAATAAATATGTTAGTAACATATCAAAATCACTCATTCATGCCTGTATTTATTAAGCCTTGTCACAAAATATAGCCTATAATTCACTATCCTCTATAATTTATATATCATCTACAAACCACATCATAATCACCATTGAAACTTCCTAAGGGTCACAGAATATAATTATCAATATAGAATAGAATAAAAAGCAATGCTTATTATATTGACCCAACAAAAACAAGAGCCATGTTGGGCGTGACAAATTTTTCATTTTTTTTCAAAAAGCAAAAAATATAAAAGGTTTAAATAAAAGTCTAGGAAGAAAATTATAGAAAAAGTAAAAAAAGCCTAAGTTTGTCACTAGGTCAAAATCTAGATCAGCTGATAACAAAATTCAATGATACATCTACAACTGTGCATATGGTCCAAATTTCATAGCTGTATAAGGTAGGTCACTATGTCAAAATATAGGTCAGCTGATATCAAAGTTCAATTCTACATCTAAAACTAAGCATATGGTTCAAATTTCATAGCTTTATATCATGAAAGTAGTCCACTTGGTCAAAATCTAGGCCAGCAGAAATAAATATTCAATTTTACCTCTAAAACTGTGTGTTTGGTCCAAATTTCATAGCTGTACATCAAAGGACAAGAAATAAGGTCATTACAACAAAATTTAGGTCAGCTGATATCAAAGTTCAATCTTACATCTAAAACTGTGGACACATACCAACTTTCATAGTCAACGGATAAAATATAGAATAAGAGAATTTCATTAAAATGGCCTTGATGGTCAAGGTCATTGAACACTCATGGTCAATTTCAGTTCAACCTTATAGGTCTTGTCCAAAAGTTTGTTTTGTCAAAGTATGAAGATAATCCATTGATTAAGTATAAAATTACACTCAATTATAGAAATAACCAGTAAAAATTTAGTACATTAACGAAGGTAAAGGCCATCAGAGAGCCAAGGTCAATTTAAGTATGACATACATGATGGTCTTATCCTAAAGAATGTTTTGTCCTTATATGAAGTTAATCCATTGATAAATAACAAAAGTAATAGCCAGTTACTGCAGAAAAAAAAGAGAAATTGTCAATAAATTGACCCTCAGACCAAGGTTATTTATAAGTCGAAGACCTGTCTCTTTAACTTTTAACAAGTTTAACAATTCATTAAAAAATAATGAGGTTATAGCCACTAACAGCAAAAATCAGCAAAAAATAAGCAAAACTAGACATTTAACCTTGAAGGTCAAGTTCATTTACCTTGAAGCTCAATTATACATGAAGTCAAGCTTAGTCTGGTCTACTTTAAACGTCTTGTCCAAGGGATTTTGGGGCCAAGAATGAAGACAATACACTTAAAACTTAAACAGTTATATTATTAAGGTTAAGGTTTGCTGACAGCAACGACAATGCTTACATGACTGTAACATTACCTCTTTTTCGTTAAAAAAATATCATCTAATATTAAATGAACAATTTTCTTTACATCAAATAAGGAAGTCAAACCTGTTGTTCTGCAGTTCTCTTCAACACCTTTAGCAGCACATTGATAGTGAGGTTAGGATCATGAGGATACTCATTAAGGTCAATATATGTTTGAAAGCCACCATGTCCATGATTTATCACCCCTGTGATATGAGTCTTCAATAGATCTGTTTCCCTGATATTCTAAATAAAAAGTAGACAAACAATTTTCAATAATGAAATATGCCACCGAATATCAATACTCAATCAAATAAAATGCTCATCTATAGGAAATTATACTTGAAATGTTATTCTGATAGGTTGTATTGTTCCAGTTGGTTGTGTAAAGTGGTATTTTCAGATGCATGTAAGGATAGTGGGAATACAACTTTAATGCAATCAACAACAGCAATATATTATAGATCTTAACTTCATTTTAACAGCATGTAAACATATTTTTGAAAGCTTAAACTAAACATATACCTGTATACAAATTATAATCAGTCATTAGTATGAGTAAAACTGTAAAAGTAATTGTGTAGCATTAATAATGTTGCTATTTGAATCCTGTCCTCTTGTTGTCTATGGACAGAGGGACAATTGGTCATGGCCATGCAAAAGATTTTGTACTTGTACATACAGAAACACTTTAATTCCTCCATAGTAAAAATATAACTTAATACCTTTGGTAAACGGCCGGTGAAATGTGGAAGATTTGTTTTGGCTGGAAAAGAATGGCAAAAAATATGAAGCAGTACTACACTGGTTATTTAAATGTAGTTCGTGTAATAATAGATACATATATAGGTATAACATTGAAGACATTTTCGAGAGTTTTTATATACGCATATTGGCAATATCCAATATGTTCAAAAGAATTTCTTTAAGCATGGCATGTTGTTAGAATATGACAACAGAAACATTTTTAATGGGAAATAATTGGGGTCACCGCTCTTGTTTTTTGGTCATCTGCCCCCTGAATGGCACTTTTTAGCTTATTTCAAGAGAACATGAAAGGAAAGCTATAATAATGCATAATAATTAAGCTTTTAAAAGAAGATTTTTTTTTCTATATCCATATAAGGAAAATCATGCCTCTGCATGGAATTAAATTTTTGAAAGAATTTTTGAAAGAATTTTTGAAAGAATTTAATTCTTTGAACAACATTTAATGGTGACTACTAAAGGAACATTCCTGTAAAGTTTGGATGAAATTAACTTAGTGGTTTATGAGGAGATATCATTTAAAGTAAAAGTTTACTGACGGACAAACGAGGGATATATGCTGGACGAATTATGATCACAAAAGCTCACCTTGTCACTTTGTGACAGGTGAGCTAAAAACTAAAAGAACCTTAAATTCATTAGAAAAACCTTTGTCAAAGTTTTTTTCTAAGAAACTGTTTTTATGATAATAATAATGTGTTTAACATTCCATCAACACATTATAGGTCATATGGCTACTTTCCAGATTCACTGGTTTTTGACTAAATGTGCATTATTTCAGGCCTAAACTATAGGAACTCGAGAATGGGACCGCATATTGCTGCGCATATTTTGGATCGTGTAACAGTTTTTAAAAACATTTCTGCTACATCTAAATGTCTTTTAGTTTTATCCAAGTATATGGCCTCAAAAAATATATAATCCATTGACTTTATAGCTGGTCAAATTTTATGGTGCTATTAAAAATTACAAGGAGTGACATCCGCCATTCGCTTCAGACATGAGTTTTTTCCCTTTGGCTACAAATGATTACTATTTTTTCAGAATTTTCCCGTTATTTTTGTCAGGTATCAGGTATCGCCAGGATATAACGTTCACGGTTTATTGTTTACACATGTTGACATGTATAGCCGGCATAATAACGGGCGTATTCGTGTTTAGATACTTTAGTAATATGGTCCAACTGATTTTGCCTCACTGAAAATTAAAACATGATCCATAGATACATATTTAAGGCACTCATCTTGTATTCATTACTAGGAAATGTGAAAGTTTTCCATGTACTGAGTGCTAGAAAAATTAAAACCAAAATTAAGCATATCAAGGGGGGATAACTTTTGCCGAACATTGCGCTAAATGGCGGATGTCACTCCTTTTCTTTTTTCAATATACTGTAAATTTATTGATTTTTAAATTAGCAGATAATATTAAATTGAGATTGTATAATTAAAGACCACCCACTCGCATGATATGAAAAGATATTCAAAGGTCGGACAAACAATATGTAAAGCTGGTACGGATGTGGATTTGTGCGCCACAATATGCTGTCCAGTTCCTATAGTCTAAACTGGCACGTGAGTAGAACCCTCTGACATTCTGTAAGCCAGCTGTATAATAAGCTTGAGTCTTCAATAGTGAGAGGCATGTGGTCTGAAGTCAACAACCTAAACCACTAGGCCATCAAATATTTAACTGTCTTAGTTAGTGTTGTCTGCACTGAAACCGAGATTCCAAGTAGGGTCTACTATTTTTTTAATTTATTCTTTTTACATTATTTCTATAATTTTCAGGACCTTTTAAGAAAGAAATAACAAATTATATTTACAAAATAAAATAGTTAATATAGAATAGTGAATGGCTTAAGTACTCACATTGATCCATTCCATCAATTATCAAGGACATATATGCATCTGGATTCCTTCTACTGGCATCTCTTTTCTTGTAATAATACTTCCGTTCTAGCCTTTAACATAGAAAGCACTTTATCAATTGTTTTTGGGTTTTTTTGCCGGGACACATGCGCAAACACACTGTTGGCTTAAGATGTCTTTTTGTCAAATTAAAATGGTTTGCTAATTATATTCCATTTTGAATTCCATATTTTATCTAACAAATTATATGCTACAATTGATCAAATAGTAGAGCTTTCACCGATAGAGATGATATCCATGTATTGTTGGTAATTTTCTGTCAATCAATAATCGATACACAGTTAAAAAAAATGATTATTTTGATAAATTATTTAAATGGAGTATTCATCGATATATCGGTGTATCGCAATATATGTCATTCGATATCGGTACATGTATATTGTCAATATGCTTTGCACTGAATCAATGACAGCTCTATCAAATAGCATTACAAGGCATTAAATTAAGCAGTCCAATAACAATATCTGTACACAAATAAGAAGAAATTTGTCATATGACTAATGACAGAGAAAGCCCTGTTCAAATTGTATTGGTCAGGTTAATCCATGACAGTTATTACAATCTTTCTTTGTCATGTATTTTTGTATATTACTAAAAAGGTTATTAAATCTAGTAATTCCACAACATTGCAGATTTGCCTGAATAACTTCAGGATATACTCCAGCATTGGCCAATAGTTTCATTCATTAATAGAATGTAGTCAAGTTGTTTTAATTCACAACAAGAGCCACTGCCAGGTGGGGCAACACTTGACTTTTTTACTTTTTCAAACAGCAAAAAAATGGTTTAAGCTAATCTTTAAAAAAGAAAACAAAATGGACTTTAATAGGTCTGTCTAGTCACACTTGCTGTTTTGTCAAAGTATTGTCTTTAAAATTAATGTCGGGCTAAAAAATCACTTTTATTATTGTAAAGATCTATAAAGTAAAATAAACTCACATTTGTCTCATATTATGTTCATCTTTTAGCTTCTTGTATTTTGCCCTTGTTTGTATACACACAGTTTTTTCTAGCATTCGTTCTAATGTTGTACATGTCGTACACTTTGAAAAGGAGTTAGTCTGAATAAATAAATAATAAACTATACTTAAATTGTTATGACAATCTCATTACTTGTTTCATGATTTAATGATAATGGTTTCTTTACTTCAAAGGAAATGCCTAAACACTGGAAGTAATGTTTTGAGACTTTGATAAAAGTCTAAACAATGTAAAAAATACATTTACAGTGTAAAGAGAACATTGAAGTTTTGAAATATGGACAAATGAAAAAAGCACTGATCAAATACTCACCTTTTATCTTCTCATTACAAGAGGTTATAATAAAACAAATCTTTAATACATTTTGCCTTGATCAAATTAAAATAATAAAGGTATAATTAAATAGCTTTATGTATCATTACCTTTTTAATTTTCAAATGAGGAAAATTCATTTTCCATGTCTTAAAAAACTGTGCCCTGCTGACGGAATATTCAGGTGATGTGTAATGCCTGGTTTCTGAAACATACTTGTAGTACAAGTCACTTTTGATGGTCCTATATGGTAAAAGTATATCTGATGTGTCAGGCATTCTGTCTCCGTGATATGTTGAATATTCCTCCAGCCAACTCATTAACTGAAGTGTCTTTTCAGACATGTCTCTTGGTTTTTTTCCAGGGATAGTCGCAATGTTTTTTTCACTCATTTGAAGGGCACGGGAAAATGTGTTTTTATTTATGTGTAGAACTATACGAAATGCTTTCGAACATAACTTCATTTGTTCAACTTTAAGAAATCTGTATTTTCCATATTTGTGTGAATTAAATATATAAGATCTAAGAAGCTGCATTCTCATTGTCTTTGAATTTAGCCAAAAGGCATTTCTCAGATCCCTGACAGTTTTAAAGTTCAGGTTTTTCATGCATCCCTGACCACAAACACACTTTTCTTTTAGAGCACTTTTAACACTTAACAAACTTGTGGCTTTACTTTTCATTTTGCGTCCATTGCATACTTCAGCTGAAAGCAAATAGAAAAATATGAATTAATTAAAACATTTTTCAACAGAAATAATATTATGTCAATGTAGAAAAAATTTATTTCTATCACATTTTTAAGTAATTTTAAAATCAAATGGTAAAACACAGTTTCTAAAAATTTTGACACGCAAGATGACAAGTTGTTAACAATTTATATTAAAGTGTATGAATCAAACTGTACTCTGTAATGGGTTTTTGTGTGGCCTTGTTAAAGTCCATATAATAGGGGTTACTTTAGCCGGTTTCAGCAGCGTTTGCGTCCCCTTAGATAACTCAGTTATAATAAGTCGGAATGATTCCAAACTTGGTATGCATACTTATTTTAATGATCCTAAAACATGTAACATCGTTACCATCAGTTCAAATACCACAAAAGTAAAAGGTACTTGTAAGTACATTGCAAGAGCAGTGTTTAAAATAACTTATATTTAAGAAGACACCTCAAACTGGTGGAATTCTAGTTCATTCATAAACATGCCTTTAAGTCAAAAGATATTTCTAAATCAACTTTAAATAAAGCATGAAGACTTTTCATCCAGATTCAATTCTATTTACCCTTTACCTTTTGAAGAGTACTTATTTCTAATACATACACACTTTTTTGAGAATTAAATTACAGGTATATGATTTCACAGACTTGTGTGGCAGTAAATAAGACAATTTTTTTCAACCTAATATTTTGCCTTTAACAGAATTTCAGTAATGAAAATCTAAACAAAAGAAATAAACTTTTGAAAATGTTACATAAATAACTTACAGAAAATGTAACTGTTGATATTTCTGGGTGGTGGCAGTTTCGCATTCACTAATTCAAGGTCTTGGTCTATGTTGTTATCCTGAGAGAGGTCAATTTCATCAAGAAGGTCTTCGGAGGATGAATCTAAAGAAATTCCTCCTTCATCTGATGAAGTGTTTGAAAGGGAATTGGGAGACACTGTTGTGGACATATGTTGATCAATCTCAGTTGATGATTTATCACCTATATTACTTTCATGATCACTTGAGGAAACAAGTGACATGCCATCTTCATCTTCAATAGAGGAAACACGTGACATGCCAGCTTCATCTTCACTTGAAGAATCTCGTGTAATGAGAATTTCGTCTTCAATTGATGAGTAATACATAACAGAATGATCTTCATCAGAAAGATCCCTTAAATCAATTGAATGTTTACACATGAAAATTGACTCTGAATCTGATTCATATGATCCAGAAAATGTAGACAATCCATACTTCTGATCAGGCTGTCCAAACACTGACTGCAAAGATAAAAAGTCAGAATTAGATACAATAATTTGACCAATTTGTCAGAGATTTCTTTACATATTAATTACTCCTGATGCTGAACCTTACAACAATGCTATGCACTCAGGTCACTAGTAGTTTCTGAGGAGGTGTCCAGTCAAGAGTCTGTGTTTCCTGGCAACATAAAACAAGTCAATATATTTTTTATTAACCAACCTGAAAAAAGGGAATAGCAGGCTCTGGAGAAGCAGCATACGGCTGAGAAGACATTATTCTTTATCCTCATCAAGATAATATTTCCACGAAATTGCTTACTTTTCATGATCATTCGTGAAAATGATGGCTTGACCACCATTTGAGTGTGATTTTGACTTTTTGTCTTCTCTTATTAGTACAACAATGCATATAATACTGTATAATTTAGATTTTTGGATGTCAGTAAATGGGCCAATTGTGTTAGCATCTAAGTCAAAAACTAAAGATAAACATACAGGGAAATATTTGCTTTTTTTAAGAACCTTAGGATGTCTGTAACAATATTCTTGGAAAGAAAGGATAAGTTTTTGAATACTTTTTTTCTAAATATTAAATCTTATGCAGACAGTCTGGGTAGAGGGGACTGAATTGTTAGGAAGATAATTACTAAAAGTCTGAATATCTTAAAATTTATAATAAAAATTGTATTATTTCTCTTTATTCTATTAATATATTATGTATTCTGGAAAGTGTCCCAAAACGTTCTCTGAAAATTCATCTCAAATATAAAAATATTTAAATTGTCAGCATTTTTCCCGCAAAATTAAATTTTCAAACATGTTAGAAAACAAGAGCTGTCGGTAGGACAGCAACGCTGGACTATTCTATGTGCTTGATAGTAAAATAAAATGCTTGATACAGTTACCTCATCCTGTTTACAGGTTGGGGTAATGATGGTGAACAAGTGTGCAATGTTTCAAAGCCATATGTCAATGGACTTTGAAAATATTTGAACTATTACAAAAACTTTAACATAAGTGGTTACGCCGACGCCGACGCTCGGGTGACTGCAATAGCTCTACTTATTCTTATCGAATAGTCGAGCTAAAAAGTAAAACAAGAGGGCCATGATGGCCCTAGATCGCTCACCTGACCTATCAAACTCATCCAAACAATTACCTAGAAAAGCATTCTGACCAAGTCTCATGACAGGTGAGTCAAAAATGTGACCACTACAGTGTTAACAAGGATTATCCATATTTGAGCAGTGCGACCTAGTTTTTTACCCAGGTGTCACATATTCAAACTTGACCTAGAAATCATCAAAACAAACTTTCAGACCAATTTCCAGGATACTTGGATCAAAACAGTAGCAACTAGAGTGTTAACAAGATTTTTCTATTTTTAGCTCCGGTGACCTAGTTTCAAATGCGATTTCATCTCATCCAAGCAATTACCTAGACAAGCATCCTGACCAAGTTTGATGATAATTTTGTCGAAAATGTGACCACTTGAATGTTAACAAGGTTTTTCCATATTTGGGCGGTGTGACCTAGTTTTTCGTCCAAGATGACCCATGTTGGATCTTGACTTAGAAATCATCAAAACAAACTTTTAGACCAATTAACAGAATATTTGGATCACAACAGTAGCCACTAGAGTGTTAACAAGATTTTTCTATTTTTAGCTCCTGTGACCTACTTTTTCATCCGAGATGACCCATGTTCGAACTCATCCAAGCTATTATCTAAACAAGCATCCTGATGATGATTGGGTCAAAAATGTGACCACTAGAGTGTTCACAAGGTTTTTCTATTTTTAGCTCCTGTGACCTAGTTTTTCATCCGAGATCAGCCATGTTCGAACTCATCCGAGCTTTCAACTAGATAAGCATCCTAACCAAGTTTGATGATGATTGAGGCAAAATTGGGACCCCTAGAGTGTTCACAAGCAATTGTGGACGTGCGACGGAAAACGGACGATGGACATTTACCGATCCTAAAAGCTCACCCTGAGCAAGCTCAGGTGAGCTAAAAAGCAAGGATAGGTACATCAAATCATACTTAAATCAAATATGCAAACACATTTCTTATAAAACAGTAAAAATTATAGGACTTACTTATGTATATTTCTTGTCAGATAACCCAGAAATGAATTGTATCAGGGGGATGGATGTTACATTCTTGGGGGGACGGATGTTACACTAGATGTTTAAAGCTCATAGTTCATACTTTTTGTTTTATTTTATAGTAATAAAATTTCTAAGAGTATAATTCTTTGTATAGTACAATAAATGTAAAATAATTGAACAAATTATGAGAAAATGTAGAAATGAGCCGCGCCATGACAAAACCAACATAGTGCTTTTGCGACCAGCATAGATCAAGACCAGCCTGCGCATCCGCGCAGTCTAATCAGGATCCATGCTGTTCGCTTATAAACCCTATTACAAGTAGAGAAACTGAAAGCGAACAACATGGATCCTGATCAGACTGTGCAGATGCGCAGGCTGGTCTGGATCCATGCTGGTCGCAAACCCATTATGTTGGTTCTGTCATGGCGCGACTCAAATATACCTGACAATTATGGAGTTTCTTACATTTTGAATTTCACAATGACAAGATGCATGCATTGACTTTATTTTCTTCCAGTTATCTTACATTTGAATGAACATTGAAATGTTTGGATTAAAATAAAAAACATAGCTAATAAAACAAAAGAATCCTTGTTTCCAGATAATGCATTAACACTGTGTTAAAGAAAGAATGTCACACCAACGCCTTTCTATACATGAAATTATTTACAAAATATTTTAGTTATATGATAAGATTTATCTTTGTAAAAGATATGATACAGTGTGAAGTAAATAAAAAGTTTTCAGACTGAAACATATGCAAGCTTGAATTTCTCATTACTAAATACATAAATTATAAACAATTAAAAATTTTCATTAAAAATTATATAAGATTTTAAATTGTTGCAATTAAGCACTATCGATTTGATGAAATATGGAATTAATGTGGAATGTCAGCAGCATTATCCAAAGATTTCATTATGATGCAGTGTCATAATCTCATTATTTCTTACTTTTAATATTCTCTGTGTAAATATTTCAGTGTACATGAACTGCTTAATTATGTACTAATTTGGCATTCAATAAAATTTATAGGTTCAAAATAATTTGCGAAGAGTTCATATCCAGACAAATTTTCACAATTATCCCAACTTTTTCATTACAGGAATCCTAACCATATCCTTTACTTACAACTTTCTTCCAATTCATTAATAATGATTAAAGGGTCAAATTGTACAAAACATGTAATTTTTTGGGGATTTTTTTTTAATCAGGGTGTTGAATTTTATTTCTTTATTTGTATAGTTTTCATTGACTACATTGTAAGTCTATAAAATTTTGAAGTTCAATATAAAATCCATTGACTTAATTGATCTACAGCTTACTTAATGACAGGCTTTCTCTAACAGATATTGTGCTCCATCCCACTGTTTTTAAGCATAATATATGTCACCCTTAATTGGCACCCCTACTGTATTGTAATATATCACACTTCCCAAAATACCCATATACTGCTCCCAATATACAGCTCGTTAACTTCCAATAAAGTGCCAGCCCCTTCTGTGTGTATATAGTTAGGATGGAAAGCCATTGCTGTCTTATGTTTAGTACTGTTTACAAAACTTTATATATATCCGGACCGGTAAAAAGTACAAGGTTGCTCTCTGGTTCATATACATGTACAATTGTGCTCGTTAACAGATGTATGCATTTATAATCATTCAGTGTTAATATTGCTTTAACTGCAAAAAAAAATTTATTCCTTCTCACAGATATATCCAACCCCTTTTAATTTTTGTTCTGTTCCATTTCACAAAATACCAATTCCCTCTTGTGGGTAATAATATTTTGCGTAATGTAACGGATCAAGACTAAAATTAATGTTTTGTGTATTATAAGTTTCATTGGACAAATATTATACATCATCCGACTGAATTCATATTATTTACGATTATGATAATATGGATTTCCAAATTTAAACTAGAATTCTTAATTTCCTCTATATGGTTCCCTGTTTTGTTTCGTTCTGTTCTGTTTTGCAAAGAACCAATAGCCCTTCCACTTACTTAAAGGTGCTGATAAATCATGATATTTAAGTTAATTTGCACTAGTAAGTTACTACTATGAATGGAAAAACAACAGAGAAGTGATCCTTAGACGTTTCCACTTCTCTGTAAGAGGCCAGTCACAAAAGGGCCATATTTGTTAAATAATTGAATTATAAGGGGACAAAACTGCACTTTGAACCACATTTCCCCACCCACATTCTATTTGACATATAACTATTCTGTAACATAGCTTTCTATTTAAATTAAACAATTCCAAAGTAGTTTCAACTGTTTTATTAAGATAAAATGTGGTCTGTTTAATGAGCAGGAAGGTCTAATTTTTGCATTACTAATGCACAAATGACTTTCCTATTATGCGGAAAAAATTCCTTAACAATATTGAATATATAATAATAGTCTGATTTCTTCAGTGAATTTTTTCTAAATAAAATGGGTAAAAAATTAAAGGAGCAAAATTATAGAGCACGATAGTTCTTTTCTATAATCTAACTTCTTTATTGAAGATATACTGGTCCTGACATTTTCCATTTAAGTTATTCCTTTTACAGTAACATAAAATGTTACTGGAAATTACAAAGCAATGTAAATTAAACTCTGAGCATATTCAGTCACGGCCCCATGCTGGGCGCCAAATGTCACAGGGTGAGAAAAATGTGCAGCCTGACCGGGACTCGAACCCGGGACCCTCGGAATACCGTACCGCGGCTCAACCGACTGAGCTATCCGGCCGCTTACACATCTTCTCCCCTAAATAGTGAACAGTTCTAAACCGTGACACAGACATTACAACAAAAGTCTTATTGCTAAAGGGTATCAATCTACTGTAATATTTTTGTCATTCATTTGCCTATAACTCTTAACAAATTAACAGTTGCAATGCAATTTCACTCTACTTTCATTTTTTTTAAGAATTGTAAAACTAATGGCTATGTCACTATGTTCTCTGTCACTTACAAGCAAGACAAACAAAAGTCCTTTGTATTTTATTTTATGATAAACTATCGTTTTTATGACTAAGTTTGGTATTTATCTAGTCAGAAGAGCATAATAAAAAGGGATTTATATATAAACGAAAATAAGTAAATAGTATAGAGAAGGAACATGGTTAAATGTTTTTAATTCTAACTTGTATATATAACTTTTTTAAGTGGACAAACATTACTTGCCAGGTCAAAACTCAAAGTCTGAGCGGCATTATTGAAAACTGAAAAGTTTGAGCGGCATTAATTGAAAACTGAGTGCCATTACGTAATATTTTGTTACAAATATAGATCAAAAAATAAAATTAATAATTAGAAACAATTAGCATTAAACAAGATCTTATCATACCACTTATCTTCTCTGAACACTGCCGACAATCATTGGTTTGTTTTGACAGCTGTGCGATACCGGATAAACAATGTACCATCGTGTCAAGTAACTAATTGGCCCCTAGTAAATTTGCATAAATCCACAATGCACAGCGTGATATAAAATTTTATTGGTTATTTGAATACTTGCATCAGAATTTACAAAGTTCTAAAAATATTTTCTTTTTCTTCCAAAGGCAAACGTTTCTTAAATATCATACTTACTCAATAATTATAAACTTGTGCCGTATTTAACCGTTCATCAACTGACCTACTAGAAATATTGAATTTGTCAAATAACTGGGACAGGTGCAGCTGAGAAAAATGACGTAAAATTTGTAGGGTATAGATCCAAGAAGTTACAAAAAAAAATATTTTTTTTACACTTCAGTACCTGTCTACTGTAATTGGACTTTCCAAATAAACTGATCTTAATACACTTGTTACTATATATAGTAACAAAATTGCCTATGATTTCAACTGATTATGAGTGTCACGTGACCTATTATGAGTTTGCGGCCCGGGGCCGAGAACTAGTTATCAGCCCGCAGAACATGTGCACGTGCACAAATTTTTATTATGAGACCTTAAGCGTATTTAGTACAAACACATTTTTGTTACTATTGAAAATTGAAGAAATAATACGACAAATTCATTCCGAAAAAAAAGAAAATAAAACTTGCTTCTTGGTTCTACTGCTTTGAAAACACAAACAGAAAACATCTCTGTACTGTACTGTACAGAACAGTAGAAGAGTAGACAAGAATTTCAACGAAAGAACTTCAAAGTCTATTTGTTTTGATTATGTTTTTGTTATTTTTTTTTTAAATGCTACTATTAGATCTACCAAGTGTATTAAAGACATTAATACACGTCAGCATAGGGCCGGAAGGTGATAATCGGCCCTGAATGAATAATGGCCCTCGGGCTAAAGCCCTCGGGTCCATTATTCATTTTGCGGGCCGATTATCACCTTCCGGCCCTCTCCTGCCGTGTATTAACCTCTTATTATTCCATCACACATATAAATTTATCAATCTGGGTTGATAATAAAAAATATGACTGGTCTATAATAATAAAACAAAAATCAATATGATATTCCATACATCTATAATATTAGCTCTACTGTACATGAATAATAAGATTTTAAATGAAGGACCCTTTTTTATTATATTCTTATAAATGTAGAATTGAGAAATGTTGTTGTAATAATTTTAAGTTCATAATTTTTTTCTGTAAAAATTTATAATTTTCCATATTTTCAGACTACTTTCGTCTTAATTCAGCCATTAATACACAAAATTAAAGAAGAATTGTTAAGAATTGTAAGATAAGTAAAAGCATAATAATAAACAGGAATTTTTTCCTTTGTTTACATCTTGTGTGAGATATTTATTTTCATATCACTTGATAAAAATAGATACTGTATTTATACAAAAAAAAACTTGAGTATCCTCTATTTATTACACTAATGTCATTATTAGTTGAAAGGCTCAATGTCTTGTATTTAATCCTGAAAATACATCATTTTTCAAGGCATTTTTTGGCCAAAATTGTGAAGGGGCCTTGGCCTGTTCATTTTGTGGAAAAAAAAGCGCGATATGTCATAAAATTGTGAAAAATGACATATAATATAATTTGCCAATGAAATTATGAAACCGGAAATGATGAAACTTGATAATAATTTCTGACCAGTGTAAAATCTTCTTTGAGCTGGTACTTCAATCTGGTAAACATGCACAAATACCTTGTAACTTGATTAAAACTATTTACATGTTTGCAATAGGCAAAAATCAAGTTTTACCAGAAGGTAAACAATGAAATTTGAAGACAAAGTCCTGAAATTTTATGAAATTCCTATTGAAATTGTGAATTTTTTTCTGCCGCTTTGTGAAAAAAGTGCAATTTTGAATTGTGAAGGGGCCTGTTATTGGCCCCTGTTATAGAAGGAAAAAATGCCCTGTTTTTTATTCATTTTTTTCAAAGTGAATAAAGCTATATATCTGATGCAAAAGTTATTCACTTATTGTTTTTGAATTTTTAAAAAAGTACACTTCCAAAATGCTTGTATGAAATAAATATGGTAAAATGTTGTCTTAAAAGCGAATGGAGCATGCACAAAATCATTGTGAAAGCTTTATAGGATGCAAAAAGTTATCGGTATTTTAATTTTAAATGGTAACTTAAAATTTTTGATAATATGGCAAAATGTTATCTAAAGCTCTGCAAAAATAATCTAAATGGAAACCCTACTTAAAATAGCTTCTGAGATATAAAAGGTCAAACTGTTAAATTCTGTGTCATTTTTCACACTAAAATATTAAGATTGCCAATTACAACATTTTGTTCTTTATACAAACAATGCCATAAATGATTACTTAGTTGAATTTTTGACAATAAAAATGAATAACAAAATGTTGTAATGATAATTCAAGAAAACCTTTGAATTCCAAGTCCACCTGAGTTAATAAGATTTATAAATTTACATATACTCTTTATTTCCCCTTTTCAGTGATTATAACATATATTACAAATTTATACATATACAAAATATAACAATATTATTCAATCTTTCAATTTAATCATTTTTTTTAAAAAAGGCCTAATGCACAGTACAAGATAGATACTGTACAGTTTGGTATTTTTACTATGGACCTCTACCATACTGTATCATTAATTTGATTAATAAATGTATAGTTCCCTTGAGAAAATTAAAACAAAACCAACGTAATCTAGAAATAAATAAATTAATTCAAATTAAACTTACCATAATTCCAAACAACAGAAAACACTGGAACACCTCCATCGTCTTGGTATACATGACTGTGTCCTAGTTACTAAGCCAGCATCAGTCACAGCATGGACGCGTCGATTTCATAATATTAGGGGTGCTTTCCAATTAGCATTATCTAACATGTAAGTATTACACAAATATTGGTCGTTTACTACAGGATTACACATTTGGCGGATAGTTTACTAACAATTTAATGATGTTGTTTCTAAAAGCATGATATAAAACAAAATAACACCATTCAGAAGTGAACTCCCCTACATTTTTTTAAACGCGTCCAAAAACATTCGGATTAGTTCGGAGTCGTCTATTTAGCCGCCAGAATATCAAAGGTACCGGCATTACGACAGCCGCAACCGGAGACAAATAGATCACTTCGTAACAAGTAAACATGTATTCTTGGTGTTTTGAACAATGTGATGAGGCTCTTCATATTAAGATTGATGGTGAAGTACATGGAGAAGTCAAGTCTGTAAAGATTGGGAAAAAATTGACAACTATAAAGGTATGTTTATATAATTTTATAAATGTTTTACTTTTATTTAACGGCTACTGTAATCATAGCCCAACAAATTGTGTGCTTTAGGGTTTTTATTAGAGTTATATAGACGATGGCCGCCCTTCTTGTAAAGACATACATTTATGAAATATCAGATTATAAAATCTATTATAAAGTTTTGCAGTCGAAATATTGAGACTACTGTAATCATTGGTTACAAAATACAGGTGTGTAAAAACAGAAAATATTTTTTTCATTAGAGAAGTTGAAACATGTATACAGTACGTGTATAATGTAGTATTACGAATTAATGTAAATAAATCTGGGCATATGACGTTGCTGTATTGGTTAGGATTTGGAAATTTTGGAAAAAAAAATCAATTTTAATCTTGCTGTTCTGTAGATCTACAGTAAATCAGTAAGTGTTAATTAATCTTTTAAAAAAAAACTAGATCAAGACCGGCGGCACGAAATACCCAAATACACCCAAATATACCCAAATATAGCAATATTTATTTTTGTTTGTATAGGAAATGTATATTTGGCTATGGTTGATTATATCTTAGTGAAAGTGTATATTGCGGCGGCACGAAATACCCAAATACACCCAAATATACCCAAACATAGCAATATTTATTTTTGTTTGTATAAAATATAGATTATAATGAGAAATAAATAAATATTTATTAAATATAATATGACATAGCCTGCTATAATTTTCATTCATTCCGTTGAAATTGACAGTTAAGATGTTGTAAGAAAATAAAGTTGTGACATTTGCTTATCTACAGTACTATATAGGTTCTTTATGAATCAGTGTTAGCAATTTTCCCTAACTTTACCGAGTACCTGGGACTCGGTGCTTATAGATCTGTTACGTCCCAATTCAAATGGGACAAGTCCTCAATTACAAAAATGCCGAAGTTTGCATAACTTCATAATACAATCAAATTTGTGACTGTTGATGTTCGCGGATACCATTGATTGGCCCAAAACGAGGCCGAGCACTTGCTCCTAGTCTACGTTTGGGATATAAATCTGCATTGCTAATGAGAAGGGAACAAATCAAATTAAGGTGAAAGTCAAGTTCTTATAAATAATACAATTTATTAAAAGTGAATAGAAAATTTTTTTTTTCAATTAAAGCAAAAAAACTTAAGAGAGAATTAACCAATTATCAGGGAAAAAGTGTTTCATCCCAGGGACTTAACAGCCCTTTTTTTCTTTCCTCCCAGGCAATTTTAGCAAGTAAATTGATATGTTTACTCAGTAAACGCGAACACTGTGAATGTACTTGCAATTTTAATTCAAGATATGATATTTGTTGTCTAAATTTTTAAGGTGTAATTTTGTTGAAATTACATATCATATACAAATGTCCATGTTATTAAAAAATAGCTTTAATGGAGTACATATACTGTATTTTGGTTCAAAACACAATGATAGGAAAATGTATATTTGGGTATGTTTGATTATATCTTAGTGAAAGTGTATATTGTATTCATGATTAAAACAGCACTTTTTTAGTATAAAACATTTATTTTTAGTATAATTCCGCAATATTTGGGTATATTTAGGCAATATTTGGGCAATATTTTGTATATTTGGGTGTATTTGGGTATATTTGGGTATTTCGTGCTGCCCATCAAGACTATGGTAAATTATTGCCGTTACAATATGTAGGCATGTAATTTTCTTATTTAGGTAATCCTGGCAAGTAAAGAAGAACTTGTATTAAGTGTCAACCTTTTTGATGATAATGGATCAGACATCTGTAGAAGTATGACACCCTTAAAAAGAAGTAAAGTGGAACCATTTTGTGTGTCTAGAACAAAGTTTGCAGAGAGATGGAACAAGTTTGGTAAGAATTTTAAATGTATAATTATGTGTTTATTACATGAAAGTTAACAAGATATATTTAATGTGGCAGCAAATTTCATTGTCAGTCTAAAGAAAATATTTGAGTACAAATTCATATGAAATTAAAAATAAATGAATGCAAAAACATATATACAGGTCAAAATACATGACATAACAACATCCTTTGATTGTGGGAACAATTTCTAAAAATTAATTGAGTAACATAAATTTGATCATAATAAGCAGTAACAAAATTAGCAGACAACAGAATACCATTGGGTTCCAATTAAAGACAAGTTTTGTTGTTATTTATAACATAAATTCCAGATTTACAAATCACGCTATTTTTTATATTTTCAAAAAACTTGGCATAGTGAATTTCTGTACATTTCAGATTAAGTCTTTTTTTTTGTTGTAAGTAATTAATTGAACAATTTGTCTTTTATGATATATCTAGATATGATAGAATTTCATCATACAGTAATTTATATTATACTGGGATCCTACATATTACCGGACAAAATATGACGTTTTTTACGCTGTAACTTTTATGTATTATTTATTAAGATAATTAAAAAGAATGAAATTTTACCCAAATAATTTTGGGTTCTTAACATGTAATCATTCCTTATCAAACATAAAATTAAACATTTGACCATAGAAATGAGTCTTTAAAGCAGGGCATTAAAAGAGGAAAAAAATCGTGTAGACAACTCAATCTATCGGACATTGTGTGATTTTTTAATCGAAGCAAAAATAAAGCAATATTCGGCAGGAATAGATTTTGTCCGGTAAACTGATTAAGTATCCCAGTAGACTATAATTATAAATTTCTGGATGGTTATATCTATTATCCATTTTTTTAAAAAAAATTTGTATAGATAAGAAATCGTAATTTATATCATTGATACCTGTTTATAAGGCACCCCAGTTTTTAAGACACATCCCCTACTTGAGGTTTAAATCCTTTTTACCAAGGATTTTTTGTGTACCCTCATTATAACATGTGGCCATGTTTTCAATCTGGCTCTAGGCTTTGTTTCTAAATCTAGAATTTAAACTTCACTTAAAAATCTTAGGAAAATAAATGAAGTGACTGAAGTCATAATAAAATCATCTGTATAGCAAATGTACTCTTAAAAGTCAATTTGTATATTGTCTAAACTGACAAATGTATATTTAATATAGACAGAAATGCATGATTGTCAATAGAAAAAATGATTGAAGTTATAAAGTACAAATTTATATTTTTTTTCAGTGTCTAATGGTGATTCAGAAGAAGGTCGGTCCAGCAGCTCCAGTGGAATAGAGTCAGATGATGACAGAAGTAAGTACATCTTATGAGTATTGTTATTTTGATATTTTTAGCTCCATTTCTCAGTTGTTGTCTTCACCCTCTAATCAGTGATGGTGTCTGCATTTGTTTTTTTGTTAAGGTTTTTTTCTAACTATAAAAGCTATTCAGTTCAAACTTAGTTTTAAGTGTTTATTGTCATGAAAGGTCACAAGGAAACATAATCTTTAAATTATTATTTTGTGCAAAGTTATGCCGCTCTTAAGCTCACTTTGCAGAATACTAGAGCTAAATTAATGCAGTCACCAATTTGTCGGCATCCCTGTGGTTAAGAGTTTATGTGTAAGCTTATATCTCAATAGCTACTGAAATGAATGGATTGAAACTTCACACACTTGTTCTCTTTTATTATTTTATATGATTTGCACAAGTCCCAATACTCTTATTTGCTTTTTTGCATTAATATTAAGCCCCATTTTCAACTTAGAATTTTGGTATTTTCATAACTACTGAAGGGTTTGTGCCTTTTTTTGTGACAGCTTTATGCATTCATTATAACCAAGCAGTGATAACTCGATAAAACATCTTTATAACAAGCCTTTGTTCCTTTTTGTGACAATTTTATGTATTATATAAGTAAGCCTTATTATACTCAATCAGTGATTTTCCTGAGTATATAACAGACTCTGATTAAAGGCCTCTCCAAATTGAAATTCTTAGTTTTCCCAAAAATCTGAACTTAAACCTGTTTTTTAGCTGGACTATTCAAAGTTTACTTACCAAGTTAGCAATTAAGCTGCAATTTTACTTAAGTGATAATTTTTCCCAAAATCAAAAGGCGAGTGTAGGACAAAAGCCCTCCCATCAATGCACTCAACATATCTAAACTGTTACATATATTTCTTGTTGTTTTTTTTTCAATTGGCCTAAGAATGTGTATGAGCCAGAACCACCTTTCATTCTGAATATACCTTCCTGAAATGTTTAACGAAGTAACTTTTTACATGAATGTCATTAAAAACAAAGTCACTTTTAAAAGTAATTGACTCATTACAAGGCACATTATAAATGTCTTTAACAATAAGTTGGATAATTTTAACTTCTTTTCATCATTTGTTATACTCGGTAAATCTAAATTTTACATAGAAGTAATCCTTCATATCTACGTAAATAAATATGCACTTACAGAGTTTAGCATTTATTATTCTTCAGATGCCTCTCAGAAATTTTGCTTTTGCTCATACAAATATGCTTATACCAATGGAAAACAATAATATTCATGATTACAATTTTAATATGTTGGGTGCATTGAAAAGAAAATATAAACTATTCAACTTACATATATGTATTTGCTGCGGGAGGGCTTTTGTAAGCCCTATTATTTTCACGGGAGGGCTTTTGTCCACCAAGTCATTTTTACGGGAGGTCTTTTGTCCGCCCTGTTATTTTCATGGGAGGGATTTGTCTGCCCTGTTACTTTCACGGGCGGGTTTTTGTCCACCCTGTCATTTTCATGGGAGAGCTTTTGTCTGCAATGTCATTTTTGGACCATCAAGGTCAGATTCTTGAATTTTGGTATTTTTGTGATAATTTTGTTATTTATGTTCAGATAAATCACTCTTAACATTTGTTATTACTCATTACAGTTTAAAACTTTAACTTGATTTAAAAGTTAGAAAATCAATGCTGTTTCAAAGTATTGTAGTAATTTAATGTCTTAATGAGTAGCTATTGATGACAATATATGGAGGATATTCAAGTTTTTTATGTTAAATACATGATTTATTTTCATCAAGTGGTATGAAAATAAATATTTCATGAGTGGCGATAGCCACGAGTAAAATATGGTAATTTTCATGCCACAATATGAAAATAAATCATTTATTTAATGAAAAAACTTGAATTTTCTGTTTATTATATACATTTTTCTCTTTCTGGACATTAAAATTTGAAAGATTTTGCCTTAAATTTTGAGTACTGGCAGAATTTAAAAGAAAGTAGTCATTAAGGCACCAGTGAAAATATGTTTCACTGCAGTGAAAATTAAATTTTTACAGTGAAAATACGGAAAATGAAAATACACATTTTATTTCATCAATATTTCATTTAAAAGTATATAATAAATACAATTTATGAATTTCAGATAGTAGCTATTCCGATCATCAAAGAAGTCCCTGTACACAGTCAGATGGTATGTGTTGAAACTTAGAAACTTTCATGTTCTTCTATAAATGTGATAGTGTTAGTAATATTTGTTTTGTTGACTAAGAACTAAATTTTAAGCCATTATGCTCATGCTTAGCTATTGTTATCCCCCTCTGTGTGTCACCATCTGTTTTCAACCATTTCATAAGGACAAGGTACATCTCCTCTGAAACCAATGACTGGATATTAACCAAACATTTCTATGAGAAAGATTGTACAAATAATAGTCATACAATTAAAATTGGCCCTCCTTGGCCATTTAAGGCTCCACTTTTCAAAGAAAAAAGTGGAGGTAATTTAATGGTCCTATCATTGGCATTGGTCAATCTTTTTGTAAAGGTTGACCGTTCATCCTGAGAAACCCCAAAAGCTATCACTTCATAGTTGGATACAAGTTTGTTATGGGTAAAGGGCAGATTAACAAAAATGCATTCGTAGCAAAGCTATGATTTTCTTTCTTTAACTTTTAAGCCCTGGTTAACGTTTTTGTTAAGGTTCATTTCTCATTTTACTATCAAGGAGATTCACCTTAAGGTAGTACACCTCTAATGCACTGTCTCCACTTTAAAGAGTATTCAGATACACTGTGTATTGAAACTGAGGGGTGTGGGCTTAAATCCCAGAAGGGGCAACTTTTTTTCGTTCATTCTTTTCTTTTTAACATTTTTTATGAACATCTCAGATCCCTAATGGAAGAAAAAAGTGTTTCATTTTACTTATATAATTATTGTAGGTATTAATTTGCTAAATAATGCCAAATTTAATAGCAAATATGATACCAGATATTTTCAAAATTTAAAAGAATTAAAAAAACTACATGGTAAAATTATTTTATATTTTGCAAGACCAACCAATATACATGTACATTTAAGAAAATTATGGCAAACTTTGAAAACCGCCCCTCATTGGGGAACATTTTATGGATATTTTAAATAAGGCTTTTTACATACCGGTAGGGAAATGGTCAAATAAGTGTTTAAAGTGGGTGGGGTATGGATACATTTTTATACATATTAAATACATTTTGTTTAGAAACAATCATTTTGCTTGTTTAATTTGTTACCTGAATGCCATTATTTGTTTCTTAACAATGAGCAATAGGAAAACATTTTCATAATGATGATATTTTAGATTATTTATAGTTTCCTCATTTCTGAAAAAAGCCCTTCTATTAAAATGCAAAGTTTTAGTTAAGAAAAATGTTTATAACTCATAAACCTGACACGGTAAATTTTGTTTAACGCAACACCTCCTACATTTCTCAATGGATTTTGACCAAACTTTCACAGACGCTTTGAAATCAAGTGCCCTGGCGCATATTGTCGGGGTTTTGTGATTGGATAATGTTTGACCTAATTATGGCCCTTTGTTTTTTTTCCTCATATAGAACATATAGTGAGCAATTTCTTCTGAGTGCAATTCCTCCTACATTTCTCAACGGATTTTGACCAAACTTTTCACAGAAGCTTTGTCATCAAGTGTCCTGGGCATATTGTTCGGGGGGTTTTGTGATTGGATAATATTTGACCGAATTATGGCCTTTTTCCTTATATAAATATATAGTGAACAATATCTTCTGTGTGCAACTCCTCTATAATCTTAAAGGATTTTGTTTAAACTTTCACAGAGTTTGTCATCAAGTGTCCTGATGCATATTGTTTGGGGTTTTGTGATTGGATAATTTTTGACCTTATTATGGTCCTTTAATTTTTTCTTTATACAGAATAAATAGTGAACAATTTCTTCTATATTCGCAACTCCTCCTACATTTCTCAAGGGATTTAGTTCACCTTTCACAGAAGCTTTGTCATCAAGTGCCCTGATGCATATTGTTGGGGGCTTTGATTGGATAATTTTTGACCTAATTATGGCCCATTGTTATTTTTTCCTTATATAGAGTATGTAGTGAACAATTTCTTCTGTTGTGCAACTCCTACATTTCTCAAGGGATTTTGTTCAAACTTTCACAGAAGCTTTGTCTTCAAGTGCCCTGATGCATGTTGTCAGGGTTTTGTGATTGGATAAGTTTTTACCTAATATTGGCCCATTGGTTTTTTCCATAAAATTTAATTATTAGTGTAATATATCCTTTTAATCACAACAAACTTTATTCAGTTATAAAACTCTCTAGGTTGTTGCATGCCTGCCAGCTCATCTGCCTGCTTTTGGGTTCTGTAGAGTCAAGGTCAAGGTCATTGTTGCTTAAAATAGAAAATCTGTTTCCAGTCAGGTCACTGTTACTAAAAATAGAAAATAGGTTTCCGGTCAATAACTAGTTTGGAATATGAAATTTTGTGTTAAGCAAGTTGTTATAAGACCTCACTTGGGATGACTTTTGGCCTTCTAGGGTCAAGGTTACAGTTACTAGAAATAGAAAATTCATTATGCATGATTTACATTACACATAGTTACATTGTTTGTTGCTTGTATTTGTATTTCAACTACAACAATTTATCTACAATGGTGATAATTGAAAACCTGGTTTCATGGCATTGCCATGTTTCTTGTTGGAATATACATTGTTAGTTTGATAAAGGACCTGATCTCACATTTCTTTGTCATATTTTGAAGCATTCTTTTGTTATATAAATAACCTTTTATGTTATTTACACATATATTATTTCATTAAAACATTTGCGATTTGTTAAGACCAAACGTAATCAAACGCAATGAGAAAAATTAATCTCAGTAAAGAACAGTCAAACTTATTTATGTAAGAACAAGATTTCAAATGATAGAAGAAAGCCATCATAAAAAGAATTAATTCATAAGTTTTCAGTCATTTGTGAATAATTTCAATTGGCAAAAATCGCAAATATTTCAATCTCGCAAAATTAACAACTTATACAGTAACTGTATACAAATGGCTATGAAGAGCCTGATTTATCATAATTGATATGAATGTGAAATACTTCTTTTATAATTACAAATAGAAAATAAGAATTAATCATAAACTTGTTTCATAGAATTATAATTGTAAACTTTTTTATTTGATAGTGCCTATTTCCACATCAACTGATGGTTCTAAAAGGAAGGAAGGCAATAGCATTACAGGTAAATTATTCATTAGCTATTGTATTGTTAAGTCAGGGATGGCAACATAAGTATCGGTTAACTTAATTGATATTCCAGTATTTTTTCATAGTTATATGTGTATAACAAAAACTTAAAAAATCTTCTTTGAAAAAACTCAAATAGCTAGAATTTAGATATTAAGCATGAAGCATCTTCTTGTGAGTGTCTACAAAGTTTGTTCAAATAAAAACCCTGGGTCAAAATTGGCCCCGCCCAGGTGACATTGATTTTCCTTATTTGTGTATAGCAAAAGCTTAAAAATCTTCTTTTAAAAAACCCGAATAGCTTAGAGTTTAGATATTAAGCATGAAACATTTTCTAGTAAGTGTCTACAAAGATTGTTCAAATAAAAGCCCTTGGGTCAAAACTGGCCCTGCCCCAGGGTGGTCATTGTTTTTAACTATATGTGTAAAAAGAAAAAACTTGACCAGCTAGACCTTAGATGTTTAGCATGAAACATCTTCTAATGGGTGTCTACCAAGTTTGTTCAAATAAAAGCCCTGGGGTTTAAACTGGCCCCGCTCTGGGGGCCTATAAAACAGGTGAGCGTGTTCAAGGCCATTATGGCCCTCTTGTTGAATTATTTTCCCTTTTAGAAAAATATCTGTGACATAACTCTAAAACTATAAGAGATCTCAACATGAAACTTTGTAGGTAGATAGATCTGAATGTGTAGCTGTGTAGTGCACAAGAACCGTAACTTTGCCATGCCTAATTTTGGAGTTATTGCCCTTTGTTCATTTTAACACTTTGAACTTTGTCCGTAATATAACTCTAAAATTATAAGAGAAATATCAGCATGAAACTTTGTAGGTCGATAGATCTCATTGAGTAGAAGTGCATTGCAAAAGAACTATAACTCTGATTAGCCCTGTAATTGAATGATCTCCCCTTTTAGAAAAATCCTGTCTGAATCCTAACTTTATAATTATAAGATGTTTCAACATGAAACTTTGTGGGTAGATAGATCTTAATAGGTAGATATGCAGTGCACAAGAAATGTTACTCTGCCTTGCATTATTTTGGACTTATTGCCCTTTATTCATTTTCACATTTTAAACTTTGTCAGGGATATAACTCGGAAACAATAACAGGTATCAACAAGAAACTTTGTAGGTAGAAAGATCTCATTCATAAGATTAAGTCTAGTGCTCTGCTTTGCCTTATTCTGGAATTATTGCACTTTAAACTTTGTCCAGGGACATAACTCAAGAGATGTACATTCCTGTGTCAAAAACCTATTCGAGGAAAATCATCTAGTTCAAACCGGGCTCTTGTTTATTACAATTTTAAATTAAAATATCCTGATGACTGTTTACATAATTGATATTTTTATATTTTCAGGCATTCAAGACAGGACTTTAAGAGATAACTTCCTAGGTATGTATTGTTAATTTATCGTTTTAGCTGGCCTACCTACACACAATGTGCTGAAAATAAGCACTTTAACTAATACATGTAAAATTACATATAAATTTAGCAGGAATGATTGGTGGCTATTTCCCTTCAAGCAATTTAAGTTAGGTGGTTTTTAACTTACAAGTCTGTCTGTCTGTAGTATATTTAGAGCTGTCCTACTCACAGGTGTCGGCGTCAACGTCCAGATCTAAGATTAAAGTTTTAGTAAAGTAAAATATTTTTTACTTTAACTTTTCATTCCTCACGGTATCAACTTCAAATATATGTTTCTTATCATCAACAACATCTTATGTGACAGGGTTCATAACTATTGATGCAATATTTTCAGAAAAATCTCTTAAACGTCAGAATCTTCTTAAAATATTTCTCTCCCCCCCCCCACTTGCACTTAGATTTTATGTTAAAGAAATGTTGTTGTTTTTTTTTGCTTTAAGTTACTCATAATGTGATATATAATATACTTAAAATATGTGTTACTTATTTTCACCTGCATCATGTTTGACAAGATTCATAACTCTAGAATGAATATTTCGAGAGTTATTCCCCCTTTGAATTTGGATTTATTTGATAGAAATTATTATTTTTTGTTCTAACTTCCATATTTTTTAAAGGATTTACATAAAGCTTTAAATTTAAGTTTCATATAGACTCTCATTTAATAATAATATGCAAGGTGTCAGTATTTTGAATTATCTTCCTTTAAAACTTAGAAGTATCTTTACTTTTTGTTACAACTTCATTTCTTCAGGAATTTAATTCAGACTTCAAAATTATGTTTATTATCAACAACTTTGTCATATTTATGCTAAGATTTATAATGCTAGCTCCTGTATTTCAAGAATTATCTTGTTTGAATTTGGAATTAAAATATTTGTAAGTAATATTTTTATTTTTAGGGGACTTTAGGTTTACCCCCCGTCTGTCTGTCCGTCCGTCCGTCAGTCAGTCAGTCCGTCTGTCCGTCCACAAAACTGGATTCCGCGATAACGCAAAAAGTACTGAAAATATTTTTATGAAACTTGATATATGGATAGATGGCCGTATGGAGATTATGCACGTCTTTTTCTTTTCTTCCTATGTTGAAAATTCTTGTTGCTACCTTAACCACTCGGCCACGGACCCCCCAAAATTTTTCTTTAATTCATTCTGTAACTTTCTTATTTCTTCGTGGATTTACTTCAAATTCAAAATATACATTCATTATCTACATCATATGTGATTAGATTTATAAGTCATGGGTTTCCATTGTAATCATTTTGAGTATGGCAAAATATGAAGTGTCATAATTATCTTGTTTCAAATAACCTTGAAATCTAACGATTATAATAGTAGTATCGGCTACATGTTTAACACAGTTATTAAGTTGCCATTTAAACAGTTAGCAATTTCGTGCCCCCCCATCCGTTCGTTCTCTTTTTGTGTCCATCCATCTGTTGGTTCTCTTTTTGTGTTGCACGTAGCTCAAAAAGTATTTGACCTAGTGTTATGAAACCTTACAGGAATGTTGATCTGCATGTGAAGTTGTGCACCTGGGTATTTTCATGTGGATATTTTTAGAGTTATCGCCATTGAATTAGTAAAAATGTTCTAATTTTCAACTTGTGTCGCACGTAACTAAAAAAGGATTTGACCTAGAGTCTTGAAACCTTACAAAAATGTTGATCAGCATGTGTAGTTGTGCATGTGGGTATTTTGTGTGATATTTTTGGTATATTTAGAGTTATTTGACCAAGAGACATAAGATTGACAAATCAGTGGAGTGTGGGGAACCTGTGTCCAAGGACACATTTGTTGTTCTAACTGTGACACGCCTAATTGTAAGAAGAGATCCAGTTAATTGATAAGATTTTTTTCTTACAGGTACATTTGATGTACATGTAAACAATCTTATTGCGCCACACCCTTCAAGGGCCACAAGAACAATTTATCACGAACATGTGGGTAGCCTGACTGATTCGTTTAAAGAAAATGATAATGGACAGCTTGTTATAATGATTGGGATGCTGACATGCCAGGACATTCGGACAGAGAATTTGCAGAAAGATGGCTCCACAAAGATCGAAATACTTGGAGGCAACCACACGAGACAGGCCCTTCAATCTCTAAATCAGAGAGGTGTACTGACGTGTCAATTGGTTAAAGTAAATTTATACAGACCTCTGCCATTGACTGCAGCCCTTGCCATAGGATACCAGCATAATGCTCTACTTCATGAGAAAAGAAAACCCCTCTCCTTCATAGATAAAGTGCGTCTAATGAGACAATGCAGGCCAGCACACAACATGAGTAAAACCCAGTTAAATGAATGGAAAGATATGCTTGTGACAATCTTCCGTGCAAAGGTAAGTCTTTTTTATTGTAACCCTTTCTTAAGATATCATTTAGTAAACCAATAATTCCCTTTCTTGTTCAAATAGTTAAAGGTAAATGTAATGAAATTTGCCACTTATATATGATATTCTATAAATTATTGCATATGATATTCAGAGTAATTTTTTCAATGTCTTGAGATATACAACACCATCTGAAAAAGATTTAGAAATAGGTCTTTTACCGCTGGTCTTTTATTAGCTCACCTGAACTTGCTCAGGTGACCTTTAAGGATCGTTGAATGTCT